CGACGGGGCCACGTGACCCAGCGCGCCACGCCCCTCCGCCCAGGGGGCCGCCATGTTAGGGGCGGGGTTGGCAGTGGACGGACCAGTCCCTGGGACTCGCGGGGCTGGGGAAGTTCCGGGACGGTCCCTCGAGCGGTGGTGGGGCTCGTTCCCTGGACTCAGGGCCCCGTCATCCCTCCCTTACTAGCCGTGTGACTGACACTACAGCTCTTGCAGTTGGTAAATGTTCAGGGAATGAGAAAGTGGAAGGTCGCCATTAGGCAAACATCTCAATTGCTGCGGCCAAGATGCGTGGATGGAGTCTCAAAATTAGTGCGGGAAAGTAGGATCAGAAACGGGATGTTTGCATAGCCTCAAAGTATCCCCCCGCCAGATGCTGGTCAGTTACAAAGAAAGGAACAGTGATTTCGTCGTGGAGACACCACCTTAGCCCGGTGAGCAAAGTTAACTTCACTAACAGTGAGAGCGACATCGTGGACCCACTGTTAGGCCGCAGAGAAGAGCCCAGCACCTCTGTGGGGGTCCTGCCCGAAATGCACGACCTTAGTCTAATCAGGGGCTAGTCACCAGACACCCCCCCCCCCCCCCCCCCCCATGGAGGGACGTTCTCAAAGTAAGGCACAGTGCTCTTCAAAAGTGTGGCTTTAAGGTGGAGACAGGAACTGTCACAGAATGAGACAGAGACAACTAAACACAATGTAGGATCCTGGATCAGAAGGGAGGCAGAACTGGACAAATTCTAATTAGGATTTATAGGTTAGTCAATAGGATTGTGTTGGTGTTAATTTCCTGTCTTGTACTAGGGGTTGCTTAAGATGTTACCATCAGGGGAAACTGGATGAAGGGTATGAGGGAACTCTACAATTTCTGCAGCTTCTCTGGGAGCCTAACATTATTTTAGAATAAAAAGTGAAAAAATAATCCCTACCTCAAGGGGTTGGCAGGAGGATTAAGGGAGGGGATGAGGACAACGTTCCTACTACGGAACTTGGCACAAAGTGACAACTCTAAATAGTAGCTGCTACTAATCATTACGTGCCAATTAGGAAATCCCAGGTTTTTAAGTACAGAAGAAAAAAGTGGGGTTTTTTGGTGGCTGGCCGGTAAGGAGATCCAAACCCTTGACCCCGGTGTTATAACACCATGCTCTAACCAACTGAGCTAACTGGCCAGCCTGAAAAATCATCCTTTTGGCCACAAATTGCTTAAACTTTCAAGAAAACACAAATGGCCAGGTCTGGTGGGTCAAGAATTAAGCTGGTCCTTCCTGACTAAAAAGAACAGAATCCAGAGAGAGAATGTCACAGGCGACCCCTAAACTGGGCTCTGTTGCACCCTTTGAAGAACTAAATCACTGTACCCCTCCTGGATGAAGGAAGAAGGTCAAGTGTCAGGGAGGAAGAAGGATCCTGTTGGAGGCTGACTCCTCTGCAGATGGGTGACTTTCTGCAGCTGCAGCCCGTCCTAAATGGGGATATCTCCTTGTGTTAAGAAATTCCTTCTTTTTTGCACCTGCCTGCTGTGGACCGATCAGAAATTGGCTCCTTGGGTGTCTGACCCAGCATGGTTCCATCAGTGGGTTCTCCATTACCTCACCACAATGTTCAGTGTTCGACCTTCAGCCTGTCACTGTGAAGGATTCAGTTAGTGGCCAAGCTCAGTTGCCAACAATGTATTTCAACTGTGAGCTGTTTTGAGTCTCCTGCTGAAAACGGGCAGGTGTGTGCATGTTCTTTCCAGAAAGACTCTGAGCCCCAAGCCTCTTTTGGTTTTTTTTGTCTGAAAAAAAAAAAAAAAAAAATCACACTGAAAGGATTAAAAGAAAACAAACCACCATTCCAGAAATCCTGCTTTCTAATCATGACGAACGCTAGCAATCCTAAAGGAAAAGATTTGATCCCACGAATCTCACAGACTTTTCTCTCTCTATGGTCAAGATACCGTAAATAGGGGTGGATATGAATACAAAGGGGTAAAAGAAAGAAGCTCCTATGTGGCGAATAAACAGTCGTGTGTTGATTGTGCTGGTGGTTACAGGAGTCTATGCAGGTGGTAACGTGGATAGAAACACACATACACACGGATGAGTGCATGTAAAAACTGGCAAATTCCAAATAAGATCCAGTCTAGTTTTTTTATTTTTTGATTTCACTATACTAATGAGGGCAGTCTAGTTGACTGTATCGTTCCAATGTCAGTTTCCTGGTTTTGACAAGGTACTGTGGTTAGGTAAGATGTTAGCATTAGGGGAAGCTCAGCGAAGGGTACATGGGACTCTTGTTTTTGCAACTTCCTGTGTCTACAGTTTTGTTTTGTTTTGTTTTTTAAAATATGTTTGAAAGGCAAGTGACAAATCAGGAAAGTATCTGCAACTGATATGACACCGGGTTTATGTCCATCACGTATGGGCTCTTGCCAATCAGGCAGAGACTGAGCACTTCCGACAGGAAAAGAGTCAAGCATGTGAACAGGCAGAGGGCCCCTCAGGCTGATGGAGTCCCCAGGAGTCCCCAGCCATGGTAGAGAAGACAAGGGGCCCATCTGCCAACCTGGAATGAAACACCTCTTCACCTGCTGCCTCTGAAAGACTGAGACCTTCTGCCAGCGGACATTTGTCCTTCTGTAGCTTCCCCCTCCTTGCTGGCACCTCACTTCCTTCCCTTCTATGCCTACTTGTCAGAGGGCAGGAATGGGATCTGCTCAAGTATGGCCAACAGATGCTGTCTGATGGCAATCTGAATATTGACTCAGGCTGCGAAGTTGCAGGTTTCCAGCTGCCAAACCACCTGGGGCAATCCCAGCACACCCTTTTCCACCCGTTCTCTCATTCTGATGTCTTCTTTAGCCAGACCCAGATTCTGTGGCTTGTGAACTCTGACCACAGCCCCCCATCCTTGATTTTATGGTGGATTGAGTGACATTTTCTTGTTCCCAACAGAATGATTTTAAAGATTCATTGGCTGAACTTCCTACCAGTAAAATGCATTGAAATGGGCAATGTATTTCGGTTTGCAAAATATGACAATGGGCTGCTTTCCTTCATATGTAAAGAGCATCTATAAATCAATGAGACTGACAGGTTAAAAGAAAGGCAGGCAAAGGACATGAATAAATGACTATAAGAAAGCAGATGTCTTAAGATAGGAAAAAATCCCTACACACAAGAGAAATGTGGGTTCAAATTACAGTGAGATGCCCCATTTCACTTGTAAGATTGGCAAAGATAAAACTATCTGATAACTAGTAGTATTGGTGAAGGAATGCAGAAACAGGCACTTCTGTCTTGGTGGTAGTATACTGTGAGGCATTCTCTTTGAAAAGCAATTTGGCAATATATTTCTAAATTAAAAAATGAATATACCTTTTGACAATTCTAGGAATTTACCCTATAAATTCATACATATGAGGGTACTTCAAAAAGCTCATGGGGGGCAGGCTGGTTAGTGTGGTTGGCTAGAGGCAGTGTTATAGTACCAAGATCAGGGGTTCAGATCCCTGAACCAGGCAGCCACCAAAAAAAAGAAAAGAAAGTTCATGGAAAGATTCCCATTATCTTTTGATTCTATTTTTCCATGAACTTTTTGAAGTACCCTCCTATGCCCAAAACAAAGCTATTTGTTGCAGGAGCATATATAACAGGTGTTGGCCAGTTACAGCCTGTGGGCCAAATCTGGCTAGCTGCTTGCTTTTATAAATAAAGTTTTATTGGCACACAGCCACACCCATTAGTTTACATTTTATCTAGGGCCGCCTTTGTGGTACAATGGCAGCGCTGAATAGTTACCACAGGGACTTACCCACAAAACCTAGAATATTTATTCTCAGGCCCTTTATCTAAAATGTTTGCCAACCTGATTTATATTATCAAAAATTCCAGAATAGCCTATGTATCCCTTGATAGGGGACTGGGGAAATAAGTTACAGTACGTTTACACAGCAGAATAGAATGCAGGTATAAAAAACTAAAGTAAAGCTAGTGTAATAATGTGGTACAGTTAGGTGGAAGATCAAGATGCAAATGAATACATTGAGTTACCTACCTGTGTGCGGACATATATGTATAGACTGTTCCTAGAAGAATATACAAGACACTTGGTGGGGGGGTACCTCTATGGAGGGAGGATGTCTTTCCCCTAAATATCCTTTTGTACTGAGGTGTTTTATTTATTTTTTAAACCCATTTTTTTAAAAAAGTGGAACTGGGCTGGCCAGTTAGCTCAGTTGGTTAGAACGTGTGGCTGATAACACCAAGGCCAAGGGTTTGATCCCTGTACTGACCAGTGCCAAAAAAATAATAAATAAAAGTCAAACATCCCACAGGATTGAGGGAATGGATTGAGCAGGACAGTCCATCTCAGCTGTTAGAAACACAGCTCGAAATGCCTTGAGTAGTCACCAGGGGCTCCCTTCATATTCAGATTGCCCTGTTGTCCTGGGGGAGCCTATGGGGACAGGCAAGGCCACACACCACATCACGTCCTGGGTCCCTAAGTGATATGCCTGGGCCACAGACCAACTAACCTTTCTGGACCTCAGGATATTCACTGCTCTATTCGGGGCAGCTGGGGCTGTCTTCATTGGTTCAGTCTCATAGGGCCGTGACACCCCTCCCTGACTTGTGCCAGGGCTGCCCTGGCTAATCCAGTGGTCCCCAAAACTGCCAAGATTGTGGCAACGGTAATGCCTTTTTGCTGTGCCTGGTCTCAGTCCCCCTCTTACTCCCAGGAGCCCCAGGACTTAGAAAGAACCTCAGACCGGTGGCGACGTTTCCATCTGGAATCGTTTAATGAGTCTGCTTCTTACACGCATAATTATAAAAGAATAAGAATCGACAAAAATATTTTCTTTCCATAATATGTAGAGGTGGTTTCTGTTTTTTTTTTTTTTTCTTTTCTTTTTACTTTTTTTTTGCCTACCCCCAGGCAGAACTCTTGTGGTAGAGGGAAGAAGGGGAAGTAGAAACCTGAGGTGGGGATGGTTCCACCTCCTGATCCTGGGCCCCAGGGCTGCCCAGGCCAGGCAGACACATGTGGCCGGCCAGCTGGGCTGGGGAGGAGACAGCAGCCGCTGACCAGCAGAGAGCAGAAGCTTGCTTGGTGCGTTTCAGTGCCTGCCTGAAAGCTCGGGGCAAGGTGGCAGGTGTCCCCCCCAGCAGGCCTGGCCACTCACTCCTGTTGGGCTGGCACCCCTGTCCACTCTGGGCTTCAGAAGAACAGTGCTCACCAGCTGCTGGGCTGAGCCCCCACTGCCCGGCAGTGGACCCCAAGTCCAGATTTAGGCACCCCTTGCTTTCTTTTAAATAATTATGAAAAACGCCCCCCAAAACAAAACACAAACATGAAGTGGGGGACTGGGGGAGAGGACAGGCAATCGCATGCTTCTGGGCTGGGGACAGTGGCTGGCCAGGGCAGGGGACCCAGAGGCCTTGGGGAGTCGCAGGATGGAGGGCACCCCAGGCTATGGCCTGGCACTTCCCAGCCCAGACTCCTCCAAGTCTGTTCTGGCCTAGGTGGCCCAAGCTTGGGCCTCTCCAGTGCGTGGCGGGGTTGTGGCCTCCTCCTGCCACAAGATAGGGAAAGGAGGTGATGGCTGGAGGCAGTGCCTCATGGAAACTGGCCATCATCTCTCTCTGTTCTGGCATCCAAGAAGCAGCAAGCAAAAATACCCCCAGGAGCATTAAAAAAAAAAAAATGACAAAAGGCATCGGGGCAGCGAAGGCAGCAACTCCTCGGGGGCGGCAGGGCTGTCCAGCCGGGGCTGGGAGGAGGCACCTGATTGGAGCCTGCGGGACCACTCGTCCCTCCCGCCTGCTCCCCTGGCTGTGGCGGTGGCGGTGGCAGCTGCAAAGCCACTTGTGCTCTGATGTGAAGGCTCCGGGCGGGCGAGGCGAGCCGAGGCCGGCCCCGCAGCAGGCTCAGAGGTATTCTTGTAGAAAGTGCAGCAGTGTGACTTCATAGTGCTCGCCAGACTCGGGGCAGCGAATACTGTGTCTCTCATTGGGGTAGATCTGGGGGAGAGAGAAGGCAGGGCTAGGGGCACTGTGGAACCGCCCCTGCACCTAAGGCTCCTCCCTGACTCTGGCTCAAGGGCACCGAGAGAGAGGGCACCTGAGTGCTGAGGTCGACAGTCCTGGATTTGAATTCTGCCTCTGCCACCGACTGGATATGTAACTCTGGGCTCCTCTTGAAAACGGCGTGAACACAGACCTTACAGACTCTGTGACGGTCCGGTAAGCTAAGGTTTATAAGATGCCATGCACTTGCATATATGAAAGACTTACAAAGTATGCCTCTGCCCCCTCCCCTCCAAACCAACCTCTGCAGAGGACATCGTGACCTCAAATCTCAGGGACGTCTACTGCCCTCGTCCCCAGCCATTTCTATTTTACCAAGAGGCCATATTTGACTGAGCATGCCAAGCTGTAGGCCCCCAGGACAGCCTCCTCCCAGGCTTTGTGAATGTGTTCTGGGTCGTCTTACCACTGAGAGATCATCTGCAGAAAGGGGTGGCGACATGACACAAAAGCCACTCCCATAGACCCACCCACTCTTCCGAGCCCTGGCCCAGTCAATGCCCAGGCCCGTGGATGGACAGACAGGAGCGCAGGTCTTGCCTCTGGCCATGAAGCAAAGGGTCTCGAGGTGCTGATGGGTACCCCCAACAGCTCCCTGCTGCCCCCTGGGTGCTCACGGGACAGGCCAAGCCCCAGTTCCCGATGGGGCTGGCCTGCAGCATGGCCAGGAGGCTCACTCCTCACTTCCTCCTGTCCATCTCGGGTTTCTGAACTATCCCCTCCTCTCCAGACCCATGGCCACCAAGCTGGCCCATTGCTTTAGGAATACACCAAGCTGCCCACTGGTCCCCCTTCCTCTACCTTTGCCTTCTTTAATCCATCCCTGGATGAATCGCAAGTCTGATGACACGGTGCTGGGCCTAGACCTCTGCAAGGAATTGCCAGCCTGACATCAAGACCAGTCTCCTGGGTCTGCTGCCACTGCTGCCTCACGGGCCTCACTTTGTCCACCCTGGGCACTGGCATGACCTGGGACAGCCCCTGCTGCCCTGACCTCGGGCCGTCTACACATGCTGTGCCCACGCCCCCTCATGCCAGCATGGGTCTTAGCCTTCAGGCTGGCAGGGAGGGCCCACCCTGCACGCTAAGTGCTCTTCCTGAGAGACCTCATTTGGCCCTTGTGGCCCCCAGGAGACAGGGGGCATCATGCCCATTGCACAGATGGGGAATACTATCCCTTCCGCTCTACAGCCCTCAGCTTCGCCATCTGTGGAGTGTCAACAGGACAGCGCATGTGGAGGCGTCCAGGAAGCAGCAAGACCGGGAAGCATCAATGTGTAATGGAACTCATCCCTCTCATCTCCACAGTATCTCCAGATCTCCTGCCAGAACAGCTGCCGTGGACCATGCCCCTCCGACCCCCACAGGTCCCTGCCCACATGGCAGCTGGAGGGACACTGGTTAAATGGGAAGCAGAGCAGCTCGGGTCCTGCTCACACGCCCTGCGCACCTCTCACCACCCTCAGGACGCAATTCAGCGAAGGCCCCACCCACCCTGACGCCAAGGCCACGCCCCTCAAGACCCAGCCCCCACTTCTGCCAAAGCCCAGCTCCTAATAACTGAGGCTTAGCCCCTCACCTCCAAGGCCCAACCCCTTTCAGCCAAAACCACGCCTTTCTGAGGCCCAGCCCACCCCCTTACTGCTGAGCTCCCCCCCACATACCTTACCACTGAGGCCCTGCCCCCAACTGCTGAAGCCCTCCTAGGCCCACCCCTAACCACTGTACTATCCCCACCCCCTCACTGTCAAGGACCTGCCCAGCTGGCCTTGCACACACCCACCCCAGGCCCCCCACTCCTCTCCAGCTTGCTCCAGCGGCCACCCTGGTCTCCTGTCCCTCCAACACGTTTCTATAGCTAATGTCCACCACTCCGGGTCCCACCAAGCCTAGCTGACCCTTCGCTGCCTTTAGCACCCTTAAATGGCACCTCCTCAGGGAGTTCTTCTCTGACACCTCCATCCCCACCCACCAGACACTTTCAGCACCCTGTGGTTTCCTCAAAGCAACTTTGTTGGTTTCAGACAAAACATGTCTGTGTGATAATTTCGGTAACATCTACCTCCCTCCACTCAGTTGTGAGCTGGCGTGGGTCTGGCTGTTCCTGCCACCCCATCCCTAGCGCTGAAGTCAGCAGTACCTTGGAGCTAAATAAACATACACAAATCAACATTGGGTCCCCTGGGAGCCCAGGATGAGCATGGAGCAGTGGGCAGTGTGGGAAAGCAGGAGAGGTGGGAGGTGGGCAGGGAAAGGGGAGGAACCTGGGAGGCCCCCCAGGGGTGGAGGGCAGGGGAGTGTGAGCCACAGATCCCGCCGGAACCTCTGCTGCTGGTGGCAAACACACTGGCAAGCAACTCTGCCACGCCACGCCTCACTGCCCACCTGGAAGAGGACCCTGACTTTAGAGTTTTGGCCAGCTCCTGGGGAGGGGCCCAAAGCATCCAGGAGTCACCCACCTGGAGTTGGTAAGGTTTTCCTGCTCGTATCAGCTGGGAGACGAGGAAGTTTGTGTGGAAAAAGTGCACGTTTTCATCCAGGAAGCCGTGGAGGATGAGCAGGCGGTTGGGCCTGGGAGACAAAGTCACATCCTGAGGCGGTTGGGCCACTGCCATGGCCTCGGAAGGTTCAGAGGCTCAGAGTGTCCCCAGCCCCAGGACAGGAGATAGAATGGAATTGAAAGCCTGGGACGGGACTAGCTGGTGGTCCCTGTGCTACAGGAGAGCCTTTGTGGCAGCGCTGCCCCGTGGCACTCTGAAATGATGAAATGTGCCAGACCTGCCCTGCCCAGCACTGCCACTACTGGCCATGTGTGGCTACAGAACACTTTAAATGTGCTGGGAGTGACTGAGGGAGTGCATTTTTTCATTTAATTTAAAAAAATGTAATGCTGGCCAGTAGCTGACTTGGTTAGAGTGCGGTGTTATAACACCAAGGTCAAGGGTTGAGATCCCCATCAGACAGGTGCCAAAAAAGAAAAATGAATAAAAAATTATTGAGGTAAAATTTACAGAACTTAAAAGTAACTGTTTTAAAGTGGACGAATCAGGGCTGGCTAGTTAGCTCAGCTGCTTAGAGCGTGGTGTTGTAACATCAGGTCAAGGGTTCAGCTCCCCAGACCGGCCAGTAGACCCCCCCCCAAAGTGGATGGACCAGTGGCATCGGGCCATTCCTGTTAGTAGTCACGTCACCCTGCATCCCCAGGCAGCTGCTAATCTGCATTCTGTCTCAAGGGACTTATCAGTGCAGTTAGTTTGAATGAACATGAACTTAAACGGCCGTGTGTGAGGATGTGCACAGGCCTGGGGCAGTGGGCTGGACGGTGGCATGGCAGGGAGCCCAGACCATGCTCCAGACCACAGAGAGCAGCATCCCTGCGAGAGGGACCCTGGTGGACTTTGAAGTCACACAAGGTGACTGCAGGGATCCCAGCGAACACTAACCAGACAGGAACACAACAGAAAATGGTAACACCACTTTCTCTCAATCAGAGAATTAGGCCAGTGCCAAAAGCGTGAACGGTACATCTGAGTTGGTCCCACGGACCTGGATGTTATGACTACCATGGACGTCTGTGCCCCGAACCATAGAGTGTCAAAACCCACAAGAAAGAGGCTGTTCAGGGTCAAGGCTGACTGATGGGCCTCACAGGTGAACACGTGCTGGGGGCTGGCTGGCAGGGAAGTGCTTTTGGGGAGGGAGAGGAGGGCAGCCTGCGGTGAAAAGTGGGGTGACTCTAGTTCCTTCCTCCCTTCCATCTTTCGGGGGGCAGGGCTGGGGGCCTCCTTCCCTCCACATCCCTGCGTGCCTGCTTCCAGTGAGGTGCAGTGAGAAAAGAGAGCTGGGGATGCCAGGCACACGCAAAGAGTGGGGGCTGCACCTGCCCAGGCAGCGGGGTGCAATGTGGGAGATGGGAGGGTGGCGCCTGGCCAGCCTTGGGGCTCAGTGGGTGTCCTGGAGCCAGTGGGGGCACGGGGGTGTCCTGGATGTACAGAGAAACTGAGTATGGCCTTACTCGTTGGGCAGCTTCTCCACGTGCAAGGCCACGGAACCCGCCTCGTAGCCATGCTGGTTGTTTTCTGGGATGTCCATGTAGCGCTCTGTGTACCCTGTGTCATAGGCCATCCAGACTGTGACCGGGGCACCCGCGATGGCCACCTGAAGGACACGGCAGACCAATGGGGCAGAGAGAGAGAGAGAGAAAGGTGTCGGGTCCCAGGAGCCAGCACTCGGCCAGTTGTCCCAGGGACCCCTGGAGGATGTGAGGAGCGGTCATGCACACAGGGGCTAGCAGGGGAAGGGGCCCTCAGATCGTGTGTCCCCATGGACTGTGCACTGCTGGAGGGAGGCCAGGGCGCTGGGAGGGCAGATGAGGCCCCTCCCAGCCACGGTGGGCCCGGTCCCCTGCCCGTCTGCCTCCTCCTCCTCCTCATCGCCGCCGCCCCGCAGTGCCCTGACAGTGTCGCCGGCCTGGGGGCCCCTCCCCCGACGCTCTTCACACCATGCCCCACCTCTGCCCATCGGAGGCCGGGGTCCCGGGCTCAGCCTCCCACCGAGAGCTGCTGGCGGGCTTTTGTGCAGCCGGATGCCATCCTGGGGTCAGCGGTGGCGGGCAATGAGGAGGGGGGCTCGGCCCCGTGGGGCTGCTGCGGGAGAAACAGCCACATGGCAAGGCCCCTGCCGAGGTGCCTCCCCCAAGGGGGTGGGCTCCGAGTGGCATGGGCAGGCACAGTGTAGACAGGGGCAGCGGGCAGGGGGTGGGGAGCAGGTGTGGCTGAGAACGGCCGGGGACAGGACCCACCTTGAACACTTGGGGCTTGTGGATCAGTCCCATGAGCGAGAGGAAACCTCCATAGGACCAGCCGTGGATGGCGACGCGGCTCAAGTCGATGAAGCCATACTTCTCCGCCACGTAGTGCAAACCCTCCACCTGGTCCTCGATCTCCACCTGGCCCTGGGAGAGGAGGCCGGGCACCCCTCAGTGGCTTCCTCCTGGGTGTATCCCCTGCAGTCCCACCTCTGTCCTTTGTGGGGGGGTCTTCTCCCTCTTGGATCAAAAGCAGCTGTCTGGAAGCCACCCACCTCTCCAGGCCCTATTCAAACCCTGCCTGCTCTCTGGGGGTGGGGTGGGGGGGGTAGTGGCTGGGGGGAGACA